ACAAGTAAACTTAATTTTGATTTAAATGACAAAGAAAGGACTCTATTAACGAGCAAATTAAATATCAGCTTGGAGAACAAAAAGGGATTCTACAGACGAGCAAATTAAATATTGATCTAAATAATAAGAAAAGGAACTCTACTGACGAGTGAATTAAATATCAACTCAAATACAAAAATAGACCCTAATCACGAACAAATTAAGTTTCAACTTTACCTTATAGAGAAACAGAAAAAGGGACTCTACTGACGAGCAAACCTTAATTTTATTTTAGAAAATAGAAAAGGGACTCTACTGACGGGCAAACATATTTTGATCTAGAAAACAAGAAGGGACTCTACTGACGAGCAAACTTAATTTTTCTCTAGAAGATACTAGAATAAAAAGGACACTACTGAAAAGCAAATTAAAATTAAAACTCTCAATTAAGATAGAAATGGACTGTACTACGAGCAAATTTAGAAAATATTGTAAATTATATTTTAGAAAACAAGACTTTATTGACGAGCAAAAGTAAATGTTAAGACAAAAGAAACTCTACTGACGAACAAATTTAAAGGTTAATCAAGGCAAAATGAAATCTACTAGTGGCCAAAAATTAAATGTTTTTTTTAAAAATGGACGAAAGAAATATTGTAATATATCATTATAGAAAACAAAGGACTTTACTGGCGAACGATTTGAATATGAATCTAGAATATGAAAAAAGGACTCTACTGACGATCAAGTTTAATTTTTAATAAGGAAAGGACTCTACTGACGAGTAAATTTAATTTTTCAGAAGACAAAGACTCTACTGATGAGCAAATTAAATATTGATCTAAATAATAAGAAAAGGAACTCTACTGACGAGCAAATTTAAAGGTTAAGGCAAAAAGAAATCTACTGATGGCCAAAAATTAAATGTTTTTTTTTTTAAAAAAAAGGACGAAGGAAATATTGTAATATATCATTATAGAAAACAAAGGACTTTACTGGCGAACGATTTGAATATGAATCTAGAATATGAAAAAAGGACTCTACTGACGATCAAGTTTAATTTTTAATAAGGAAAGGACTCTACTGACGAGTAAATTTAATTTTTCAGAAGACAAAGACTCTAATGACGAGCAAATTAAATATTATTTTATAATAAGAAAAGGAACTCTACTGACGAGCAAATTGAATAGCAGCTTGCAGCAAATTCAGGACATTTTTCAAAATTACAAAACATTTTCCAAGATTTCAGAAACTTTTTTGAGTATACCAGACATTTTTCAAGATCATAGAAATTTTCTAAATATAGTAAATTTATGTAAAAAAAGGAATAATTAGTCAATTATTATTATTTACCTGTTCTGCCTGGAAGTTGCTCGAATTGCTCGACAGTGTGAACCCTTCCATTTTCTTGTCGCCTGTGTTACCTGTCAGGCGGCATTTGCCTGCAACCTGAGACCATTTTTCGTTGATTGTTTGTCTTGTTTTGTCGTCGTAACCTGAAAAATGATAAAGTTATTTAAAAAGAGACTCTACTGACGAGCAAACTCAAATTTATTATATTAGGAATAATGACCAAGAACAAAAAAGGAACTCTACCGACAAGCTAACAAATGTGTGGAAAATATTATAGAAAAATGACTCTACTGACGACCAAATTAAACTAGGGCTAGAAATATGTTAAGGTAAAAAGGACTCTACTGACAAACAAATTTAACTTGACAAAAATATTACTAGATTATTGAGACGTTTGTCGAGTATGTTACTATAATGTGCTCGTCGAGACCTTTCATTTGATACCCCACATACCCTATATTTGAAGTAAAACTTTTTAACTCAGGTTTGATTCCAAGTGCTGCAACCCAATAGTTGGCTTTTTATTGTATCTCTTGTAACTTTTGAACCGTTTGTCCGAGGTAAATGAAATATTCGGCAAATTTGTTCTAAATTGAAAGATCTATGATATCTACTAATATAGTATTACCATACGTCAAGTTAGTATATTTTAATATTGCCAAAATTGACTCTGTGACGTTCGTCAAATTTGTTACTATAATAATTGGTTAGTGCTCGTCGAGACCTTTTATTTGATACCCCACATGCCTATATTTGAAGTAAAACTTTTTAACTCACACTTGACCCCGCGTTCGGCAACCGAATGGTTTACTTTTTATTGTATATCTTGTAACTTTTAAACCGTTTGTCCGAAGTAACTGAAATATTCGGCAAATTTGTTCTTGATTAAATTATCTATAATGTCTTTTACTAGAATTTGATTTTACAGCAACTTGATATACTTTAAAATAGCAAAAAATGCTTTCAAAATGTAAATAAATTATGTATACGGAACCCTATTAGTTTGATGAGTCTATTACAAAGATATTTGTCTAGTGCTCGTCGAGACCTTTCATTTGATACCCAACAAGCCTATGTTTGAAGTAAAACTTTTTAACTCATTGATTATTGATCCGCTGATAAAAAAGGACTCTACTGACGAGCAAACTAAAATTCTTTTATTTTTCTCTTACCAATTCTCCTGATTTTGAGTTCTGTGGCCAATCCGTTCAATTTCTTCAAATCCTTAAACCGGCCAGAAAATTCGGCCTGAAGGGCCTTCGTATCGGCGTCGTGATTATTGGCCAGGTCCATCCTGTCGCTGATTGTGTCAATAAATTGGGACAATTCGAACAAAAGTCGGTTGTAGTTGAAGAGGTTCTCTTCGGCCTGTAGAGTTTGGGACTTTCTGGTCTCTGCTTCGGACATAACCTAGAAGGAAAAAAATTGATATTGGTAAATATTTACAATTTTTCTTTAAATTTTTACGAGTGCTTGCGGTGTTGCCCGAGCCTAACAGGCAGGTTTTCCATACGTTTTTAGTTAGGCTCGGTTCTACATGGTGAGCGTTTCTTCAATAATTTAGTGAAGATTGACAATTGTGAATAAACTAGTGCAAGTATAAACTGCCATTTTTAACTCTTTCTCTTTGCTCCGTATCTCCGTAACGGCTGGGCCTGCCTTTGCCAAAAACTAATCAACACATCTCCCCCCATCAAAAGGAATCGAATGTTTTTTGAACCATAAAACTTATTCCTAAGCCAAAAGAAACTCTACTGACGATCACAATTATAACTGATCCAATTAAAAATATCAACAAAAAAAAACTTCACTGACAAGCTAACAAAAATACATTGGAAGCACTTATCTTTGCAAAATGGGACTCTACTGACGAGCAAATTGAAAATAATGAGAATAGGGACTCTGCTGTTCTGCTGAAGTGTAAAATAGGCTCTGCTGATAAAAAAACTAATTAAAAATAAGAAGAAGGTACTCTACTGACGAGCAGGACTAAATTATAAACTATAATATAGAAAAAAGGACTCTAATGACGAGCAAACTCAAATTTTGATCTGAAAAATTAAAAAGGGATTCTACTGATGAGCAAAAATAAATTATAAACTAAAATTTGAGACAAAATAAACGAAAAGGAAAAAGAAACTCTATCTAACTAAAAACGTAAGAAGAAGAGACTCTACTGACGAACAAACTAAATTAAAAAATAGAAAAGGGATTCTACTGACGAGCAAACTTGATCTCGATCAAAAAGTTAAGCAAAGCGATTCTACTGACGAGCAAAGTGAATCATAAACTAAAAGATTAAAAAGGATCTCTACTGATGAGCAAACGTAATTTATATCAGAAAAATGAGAAAGGACTCTACTGACAAGCAAATTCTAAATTATTTTTTTTATAATTCAACCACATTTCGTACGTCTCTAATATTCTACATCATATAACTATACAAAGTTTCATCAAAATAATTAAGTAAAAAAGGGACTGTAATGACGAGCAAACTAATATTCATCATAATACATTTATTAAGGTGGAAAGGAACTCTACTGACGATCAAACAAATATTGAGATGAATCTGTAGACGAGCAGAATATTTTGTATTAGGAAAATCGGAATGTAACGAAAAAAGACTCAACTGACGAGCTAACTAAATTAAAAAAAGAAAGAATTCTATTGTCGATCAAACAAAACTTTAAAAAATCTACTGTCTAGCTAAATATGTCAAATGGCAATACTATAAAATCACAAAAATTACACTTTGGAAATTGAATAAATGGCTGGTATTGAACACTATTGGTTTGTAGTAATGTTGGATACAATATTTGGATAGTGATCGTCGAGACCTTTCATTTGATACCCCACATGCCTATATTTGAAGTAAAACTTTCTGACTTATATCTGTCCTCGTGCTATGCAACCCATTGGTCGGCTTTTGTTACATCTCTTGTAACTTTTGAACCATTTGTCCGATTTGAATGAAACATTCCGCAAATTAATGCTAAATTACACTATCTATAACACTGACTAGTATAGAAACTTTACAACAAGTTAGTATACTTTAAATTTGCAAAGATTAGAAATTATTTACTGAATATATGATACCCCACATGCCTATATTAGAAATAAAACTTGTCATCTCATATTTGACCACAAGTTCTGCAACCCATTGGTCGGCGTTTTATTAAATCGTTTGTAACTTTTGAACAGTTTGTCCGATTTGAATGAAACATTCGACAAATTTGTTCAAAATTGAATAATCTTCAATATTGTCTTTTACCCTAATGCCCTACAGCAACTTCGAATACTTTAAAATTGCAGTTGAAGCGAGAGAAATGATCTAAAGTACTAAAGCATACTAGTTTTTAATTTAAATATGAAAGAAAAAGGAACTCTACTGACGAGCAAACTATAAAAATAACAAGGAGAGACTCAACAAGCAAACTATAAAAACTAAGAAAAGGGGACTCTAAAAAATAGAAAAAAGGTATCTGTACTTTCTTATAATATATTCGAACTATACATCAACTTGGTATATTTAAAATAAAAAAGAAAATGATTCAGTTTTAATGATTATGATTTATAAATAATTTAGTTAGTATGATATTTGTGTAGTGCTCGTCGAGACCTTTCATTTGATACCCCACATGCCTACATTTGAAGTAAAACTTTCTGACTTATATCTGTCCGTCGTGCTCACGCAACCCAATTGGTCGGCTTCCGTTACACCTCTCGTAACTTTTGAACGGTTTGTCCGATTTGAATAAAACATTCCTCAAACATACGCTAAATTACATTATCTATCTATTATCACCCTTACCTTGGCCCATTTCTCCCTCAACCGATCCTGACACTCGACCTTCAGCCTCTCAGCGACCCCAGGCTCGGCCCTAAGCACCAAATTATCCCCTTTACTGATCAAAGTTGCAGCATCGCTGGCCAAGGACCCTATCTCAGTCCTTAGAACCTCCAGTCTGGCAGCAGGGTCTTTTAAACCCTCCAAACCTCTGAGGGTCATCGATACTCCGTCCATACGTTTCAACATGGCCCTTGCGGCCCTTTCGTAGGATATGTCCGGGTCTAGGTTCTTGGTGGTCTTTGGGATTAGTTTGGGGGTTGATGTAGGTGATTCGGTGGTTATGGTTGTGGGTTTGGGGATTTTTGATGGTGCTGGGGAGGATGGGGATGATGTGGTTGGTGGTAAGGTGGATTTTTGGGTTTTGAGGGTTGTTTTGGGGGATTTTGGGATTGGTTTGGGCGATTTGGGGGTTTTGGGGGATGTTAGGGGGCTTTTTGGGATTTTGGTGGTTATTGTACCTGAAATAGATTAAAGAAGTATGAGTATATAAATTGATAGAAAAGAAGAAAAGAGATTCTACTGACGAGCAAACTTAAATGTCTCGATAAAAAATTGGATGAAAGGACTCTACTGACGAGCAAACTTAAATATCTCGATAAAAAAATTGGATGAAAAGACTCTACTGACAAGCAAACTAATTATTCAATCAAAGAACCAATATAGTCTACAATAGAAAATGTAAAAGGGACTCTACTGACAAACAAATTAAAAGTTGACTAATAAAAAGAAGAAAATAAAAAAAATGTACTACATAAAAAATGAATTTATTAAAAAGGGACTCTACTGACGAGCAAACTAAAACTAAAATTAAAAAAGGCGAGCATATTTGAAATAAAATTGAGAAGGAGACTCTACTGACGAGCAAATTAAATTGCAAACTAAAAGAGAAAACTAAAGATATAGTAAAAATGGACTCTACTAATGAGCAAAACAAATTGAAGAAAAAGAACTCCACTGACAAAGAAATATATTAATAAAGCAAGCAAACATTAGAATTTGATTTAAGAAAATGTTCTTTTTCGTGTAATATTTGTTTATACTGAAAAGATGTTTTATCTTATTTCTGTTAATTTAAGAAAGGACTCTACTGACAAGAAAAAATTATAAAATTTTGTTGAAAAGAAACGAACTCTACTGACGAGCAAAGTAAATTGAAAATAAGAAAATTTAACAAAATAATTACATTGACAAAAAACTTGATATTGATCTTAAAAATAAGGGCTCTACTATTAGTTCGCTGTTTGTTTACTAGTTTTTTAGTTAGGTTTTTGTTTACTAGTTTGTTTAAAAGTGATTCTACTGACGAGCGAACCTTAATTTCGCCCTAAAAAATTAAAAAAAAGGGACTCTACTGACGAGCAAACTTAAGATTTAGTTTAGAATTTAAAAAAGGGACTCTACTGACGACCAAACAATAATTCCGATCTAGAAATATAAAAGGGACTCTACTGAAGAGTAAATCAAATATAAAACAAAATGGAACTTTACTAACAAACAAACTTTAATTCTAATCTAAAAAAAAGGACTCTACTGATGAGCAAACTTTAATTGTGTTCTAGAATATAAAAAAGAAACTCTACTGACGACCAAACATTAATTCTGATCTAGAAATATAAAAGGGACTCTACTGACGAGTAAACAAAAATTAAGATAAAACAGAAAGGGACTCTACTGACGAGCAAACAAAAATTAAGATAAAACAGAAAGGGACTCTACTGATGAGCAAACTAAATAGCAATCTAGAAGACTAAAAAGAGACTCTACTAACGAGCAAACTAAATACCAATTTAGAAGACTAAAAAGGGACTCTACTGATGAACAAACTAAAAACTAGTGGGGTGGGTGGCATCGTGCCTTAAGGCAAATTGCTGGAACTTCCCGTACCGTAACGAAATGTTCGAGGAATACTGAATGTTTTCAAATAGATTATTATAAATATTTTAACATTGTCTAATATTTATAAGAATTATATAAACTGAATAGCAAAGTTGAAATTATTTGTTTCAACAAAAAACTAAAAAAAAAAAAAAGAAAAAAAAAAAAAAAAAAGAACAAAAATTTTTTTTTCCAAAATCAATTATTTTGTTAAGACAAGCAGAAAGTTTTTTGAATTATTCAAATCGGACGCTTAGTTCTCTCAAAAACTGCCATTTTTTACATATTTAGCTCCGTATCTTCGAAATGGCTGGGCCTGCCTTTGCCAAAAACTAATAAACACTTCTCCCAATCATTACTAATTGAATGTTTTTTAGATCATTCAAATCGGATACTCCGTTCTCTCAAAAATTCGATTTCTATTTTCCGCACTCTTTGCTCCGTGTCTCCGAAACGGCTGGACCTGCCTTTGCCAAAAACTAATCAGCTCTTTTCCCTATCAATAGGAATCGAATGTGTTTTGAACCATTCAAATCGGTTGATCCGTGCGCCCTAAAACGTGACTGGAAATTTGTATCCACACATACATACACACACACACACACACACACACACACACACACACATCCATTTTTTCTGAGGTATGCCAAAACGTTCAGAAACCTTCAAAACGTCGAGAAATGTAAAAATTTTCAATTCCGATTTTCGGCCCATTACAATAACTTACCCTACGGGAAGTTAATAAAATTGAAAAGGGACTCTACTGATAAGCAAAATTAACTTAGATCTAAAAAATTTAAAATATGATCTAGAAGAGTAGAAAAAGGACTCTACTGACGATCAAAGTTTAACTTTGCTATAGAAAACGGAAAAGAGACTCTACTGACGAGCAAACTTAAATTCTGATCTAGAAGAGTAAAAAAGGGACTCTACTGACGAGCAAATTTATAATTTCAATCCAAAAGATTTAAAAAAAAACGCTACTGAACAAATAAAAAATATAACAAAAATAGACTTTACTGCTGAAATATGCACATTGAATGATGGTAGGTTATAAAACAATTGACTCTATTTTAGAGGTTCATTTGCATCTGTACTGTTTTTTAGGGCTTTTGATGTTGAACTCTTGTACATTGAGGTTTGTGTCTTAGAAATACCTGTTAATTGGACTGAAATTGATGGATCAAAAGTGTGTTATCATCATAATATTTTACCCAGATATATAACAAACATTAATTTATTTTACTAGGTGAATTCTTCTAAAATTCTATCTTTAATCTTATAAAAGGACTCTACTGACAACCATCTCACCTGTAGATACAGTTTTGGGCGAAACAGCCACGACCTGCACCCTCGTCGTAGTCTCACCATCCGGAAAATCAAACTTCCTCTTCTCGCCGTCCTTTGGGGTTTGAGGCTTCGGAGAACATTTTTTGAACACCTCCTGAACCGATTGTGATGATTCTACTATCACCGGTGGCTCCACATTCGGCATCTGTTTGAATCTGATGTCGTCCGTCTTCTGAGGAGAACCCAAAGTGGACGTGGAAGCCGAATCGTCCAAACTGGTGGTGTCATCTAGTTGCATGGGTTCGACTTTCTTGGGACTCGGTTTGGATTCTTGGTTGTCCGATGAGATTCTCGACTGGAAGGAAAGATATAAGTGAGATAAAGCAAAGGGATTCTACTGACGAGCAAGCTGTATAGAGATATAGATGATACATAAAGGGACTCTACTGACGAGCAAACTGAAAATAAAATAGAAAAAGGGACTCTACTGACAAGCAAAGAGAAAATTAATAGCATGGAGAAAATTAACAGCAAAGGGACTCTACGGGCAAACCAAATTTATAAAAAAAATTTGTAAAAAAGGGAGTCTACTGACGAGCAAACTGAACATAAAAAAAAAATATAAAAAACAAAAAAAAAAAATAAAAGAAAAATAAAAAAATAAAATATAATAAAAAATAAAATATAATAAAAAATAAAAGAAAAAAAAATAAAATAAATAAAAAAAAGTATAAAAAATGAAAAATAAACATTGGTAGAAAAGGGACTCTACTGACGAGTAAATTGAAAATTAATAGAAAAAAGGACTCTACTGACGAGCAAACTGAACATAAAAAAATAAAAAATAAAAAAATAAAAAATTAACATTGATAAAAAAGGGACTCTACTGACGAGCAAACTAAAAATTAATAGGAAAAGTGACTCTACTGACGAGCAAATTAAAAAATATTTAGAAAAAAGACTCTACTGACGAGCAAACTGAACATAAAAAATTAAATAAATTAAAAAAAAAACAAAAAAATAAAAAAATAAAAACATAAAAAGAAAAAAAAAGAAAATATAATAAAAAATAAAAGAAAAAAAATAAAATAAATAAAAAAAAGTATAAAAAATAGAAAATAAACATTGATAGAAAAGGGACTCTACTGATAAGCAAACTGAAAACTAATGAAAAAAGAACTCTACTGACGAGCAAACTAAAAATTAATAGGAAAAGTGACTCTACTGACGAGCAAATTAAAAAATATTTAGAAAAAAGACTCTACTGACGAGCAAACTGAACATAAAAAATCAAAACATAAAAAGAAAAAAAAATAAAAAGAAAAAATTAAAAAAATAAAAGAAAATGTTAAAAAAATAAAAAAACATTGATAGAAAAGGGACTCTACTGACGAACAAATTGAAAATTAATGGAAAGGGGACTCTACTGACGAGCAAACTGAAAATTAATAGAAAAAGGGACTCTACTGACGAGCTAATTGATTTAGATATTAGATAAACAAGTAATAATTTAGAAAACGGGGATTTTGTTTACGAGTAAATTAAATTTGAATTAGTAAAATATTAAGAAAAGAACTCTACTGACAAGCAATTTGAATACTAGAAAATTCAGACATTTTTGAAAGAAAAATGGGTTTCTTTTACCGAGCATAATAAAGTTCTACTGATGAGCAAAACAAACTTACAGTAAAAGGAAGTCTACTGACCAGCAAGCGAAAAATTTAAGGAAAAGGGACTCTACTGACAAACAAAAGATATGAAAAATGTATGAAAAAAGAACTCTACTGATGAGTGAACAAAAATTCATTACCAAAAAGGACTCTACTGACAAGCAAATTAAAAACTATTTAGAAAAAGTTCTCGACTGACGAGCAATTTAAAAAATTAATGAAAAAGGGACTCTACTGACGAGCAAATTGGAAATTAATAAAAAAGGGACTCTACTGACGAGCAAACTGAATTTATTATCGAAAATTCCAAAAAGAGACTTTACTGACGAGCAAATTGGAAATTAATAAAAAAGGTACTCTACTGACGAGCAAACTGAATTTATTATCGAAAATTCCAAAAAGAGACTCTACTGACGAGCAAATTGGAAATTAATAAAAAAGGGACTCTACTGACGAGCAAACTGAATTTATTATCGCAAATTTAAAAAAGGGACTCCACTGACGAGCAACCTGAACATAAAAAAATAAAAAATAAAAAAAGTAAAAATAAAAAAGAAAAAAAAATAAAAAAATAAACAATAAAAAAAATTCAAAAAAAAACGAAAAAAACGAAAAAAACGAAAAAAAGTAAAAAAAAAACAAAAAATAAAAAAAACATTTATAGAAAAGGGACCCTACTGATGAGCAAACTGAAATAAAATGAAAAAGGGACTCTACTGACGAGCAAACTGAAATAAAATGCAAAAAGGGACTCTACTGACGAGCAAACCGAAAATTAATAGAAAAGGGACTCTACTGACGAGCAACATGAAAATTAAATGCAAAAAGGTCCCTACTGATGAACAAACTAAGAAGTGATGGAAAAGAGACTCTACTGACGAGCAAACTGAAATAAAATGCAAAAAGGACTCTACTGACGAGCAAACCGAAAATAAATAAAAAGAGACTCTACTGACAAGCAAATAAAACTAGCAAGAACCAAAGGACTTTACTGACGAGCAAATAAAGATGTCAAAAGAAAAAAGAACTTAACTGACGACCAAAAAAATAACAATGAAAAAGAGATACTACTGACGAGCAAAAATTAGAAAATATTTGGAAAAAGGGACTCTATTGACGAGCAAATATATGAAATCTACTTATGAAAAATATATGTAAAAAGAGACTCTAATGACGTGCAAAAATGAGAAATATGTTTGAAAAAAAAAAAGTAAATTTTAATATGACCAAAATAGACATTGTGATGTTTGTTGCTATGATATTTGTATAGTGCTCGTCGAGACCTTTTATTTGATACCCCACATGCTTATATTTGAAGTAAAACTTCATAACTCCTATTTGTTCACGAGCTCCGCAACCCATTGGTCTACATTTTGTTGTATCGCTTGTAACTTCTGAACCGTTCGTCCAAATTGAATGAAATATTCTACAAAATTCCACTTTAGACAACTATCTACAATATGTAATGCTTAACAGCAACTTTGAGTACTTCAAAATTGTAAAAATTGACATCGCGACTTAAATAAATGTCTTATACGCAACCCTATTGATTTTTTGAGTGTTTTGGTATGATTTTTGGATAGTGCCTTTTATTTGATACCCTACATGCCTATATTTGAAGTAAAACTTCATAACTCATATTTGACTCCGAGCTCCACAACCCATTGGTCTACTTTTTATTGAATCTCTCGTAACTTTTGAACCGTTCGTCCAAATTGAACGAAACATTCGGCAAATTTGTACAAAATTCTATCATCTACAATATGTATTAGTCTGTAACACTCTAGTGTACTTTAAAAATGTAATAATGGACTTTACGAATTAAATAAATGTCTTGTACGGAACCCTATGGCTTTATAGAACCTATAAGTATGATTTTCGGATAGTGCTAGTCGAGACCTTTCATTTGATACCCAACATGCCTATAATTGAAGTAAAACTTCATAACTCGTATTTGACTCCGAGCTCCGCAACCCATCGGTCTACTTTTTATTGAATCTCTTGTAACTTTTGAACCGTTCGTCCAAATTGAATGAAATATTCGACAAAATTGCACTTTAGACAACGATCTAACGATATGTAATACTTTAAAATATAATATGTAATTCTTTATGTATAGTTTTGAGCAAAAATTATAAAAATATTTGTAAAAAAGAGACTCTACTAACAAGCAAAAATTATAAAAAACATTTCACACAAAAACGTCAATTTTAAACCATCATCATCATCATCCTGCCAATCTTACCTCCAACATCTGTCTCTCAATCAACCTGCCCATCACCACTGCACCATCACCATCATCAACATCAGAACTGGACAAATCATCCTGAGAAGCACCAGCAGCGACATCATCATCTTCGGAGAAAACCAGAAGCTCATCATTCTCTTTGTCACTTCCGTAGAAACTGTCACAATCATCATCAGGAAAAGAAGAACTGATCGAGGTAAAAGTCTTTCTTGGTTCATCATTTGTCGATTTTGGGGAAGTTCCAGAAAAGTTGGATGATTTTAGTTCAAAGTTGGTCAAATTTGGAGCTCCTGCTGAAGAGCTGGTCGATTTTGGAGTTGATTTTGGATCAGTTCCCGAAGAGCTGGTTGATTTTGGAGCAACTGCTGAAGAGTTGGCCGATTTTGGAGCAAATTTTGGATCATTTGCTGAAGAATTGGTCGATTTTGGAGCAACTGCTGAATAGTTGGTCGATTTTGGAGCAAATTTTGGATCATTTCCCGAAAAGTTGGTCGATTTTGGAGCATTTCCCGAAGAGTTGGTCGATTTTAGATCATTTCCCGAAGAGCTGGTTGATTTTGGAGCATTTCCCAAAAAGTTGGTCGATTTCGGAGTAGATTTTGGATCATTTTCTGAAGAGTTGGTTGATTTTGGAGCATTTTCCGAAAAGTTGGTCAATTTTAGGTCATTTTTCCGCAGAGTTGGTTGATTTTGGATCATTTCCCGAAGAGTTGGTTGATTTTGGATCATTTTCCGAAAAGTTGGTCAATTTCGGAGTAGATTTTAGAGCACTTTCCGAAAAGTTGGTTGATTTTGGAGGTTCTGCTGAAGAGTTGGCCGATTTTGGAGCATTTTCCGAAAAGTTGGTCAATTTTGGAGTCGATTTTTGGAGCACTTTCTGAAGAAGTGGTTGATTTTGGAGCATTTGCACAAAAGTTGGTTGATTTTGGAATCGATTTTAGATCATTTCCTGAAGAGTTGGTTGATTTTGGAGCAACTGGTGAAAAGTTGGTCGATTTTGGAGAAGTTCCTGAAGAGTTGGTTGATTTTGGATCATATCTCGAAAAGTTGGTTGATTTTAGAGCTTCTGCTGCAAAGTTGGTCGATTTTGGTGCTTCTGCGAAAGAGTTGGCTGATTTTGGTGCTTCTGCGAAAGAGTTGGTCAATTTTGGAACTTCTGCTGCAAAATTGGTCGATTTTAGAGCTTCTGCTGAAGAGTTGGTCGATTTTGGAGTCAATTTTGGATCATTTCTCGAAGATTTAGCCAATTCTGGATCATTTCCCAAAGCACTGGTCAATTTTAGGTCATTTTCCGAAGAGTTGGTCGATTTTGGAGCAAATTTTGGTTCATTTTCCAAAAATTCGCTCGATTTTACATCACTTCCCAAAAATTCGCTCGATTTTACATCATTTCCCGTCAATTTAGGCGAATTCAAACTCTTCCTAGAAATCCTATCAGCAGCACTACCACCAATGGAGGTACCTGTAGGCCCTTTAGCACCTCCAGGATCACTTTTGATATTCCCGACCAACCTGTAGGTCTTACTGAGCTCAACCTGCTTTTTTAGGACAACCTGGTTGTCCTGATCTAAAGTTTTTATCGTAGCTTCATCTGCGCGCTTCAGTTTATCCGTCATCTCCAAACAAACATCACGAGGAGACGATGGTAATAGACTATAGTCTTGGTTTTTTGTAGGTAAAATATTATAGTCCTGGGTTTTTGTCACCCCCAAAGTTCTTTCGTCCTCCACTGGTGATGGTGGAGGACTAGGCAAATCCTCTTCCACAGATTTTCTAACTTTCAAACGCTGTCTATCACCATTCCCCGGGGCACGACGTTTCAACTCCACTTTTTTCCCATCATCCAAAGACTTGATTAAACCTGCAGCCCAACTGGACAGATTTTGATTTTGATTTTGATGCTGATGCTCCTCATCTTCCGTATCAGTGTCTTCGCCAACCACCACCTGTTGAGGCATGCACAACGTTGCCAAATCGCCCTTCTTGACCTCCACAACCTGGGGGGATTGATTGCCCCTGCTTTCCTTGACCTCCACCACCATCCGGCAGTGGGGGGACTGATTGCCCCTAATTGGTGTCTTAGTACATTCTACCAAATCAGGTACAGATGGTTCAACCTGGAGACGTCTCCTGACTGTGTCACTGACCACCACGATGTTGGTTGATTTGGCGGTTAGTTGATCCTGTGGACAAGGTTGTTTTGGTGTCACTTGTTTTGGTTTGGTTTATATATTTGGAGGTTAGTGCCATGCACATGTAGTGTCCCTTGTTCCGCCGATGCCTTATGGTTAAAATGGTGGTGCTTTGAGGTTGGTTTGTTGAGGTTGGTTTGGAGGTTATTCCATGCAATGTGCTCCAATGTGGTGGTGATGATGTGATGAGGAAATGTGCAGTGGTGCAGTGTGATGGTGTGATTGAGAGAATAAATTTCATGATGATGGTGTTAAGAGTAGTTTGAGCTAAGATCGGTACAGACGTTTTTTCCACCAAATTTATATATACATGTATATATATATATATATATATATATATATTCCAAAAGAAAAAAAAATTGGAAAAATTCCAAAGGCATTCGGTAAATAAATAAACATACAGCCATCTATCGGTTAGCTTACGAACTATTTTATTTTAAAGTCCCCTTTTCATGTTATAAATCAAAATTACAATTTCATCGTGAGTAGAGTCCCTTTTTCTAAATTGTCTTTGAATTTTTGTATCAGTAGAGTCCCTTTTTCTAAATTGTCTTTGAATTTTCGTGTCAGTAGAGTCCTTTTTTTCTTGAGTTTGCTTGTCAGTGCAGTCCAATTTTTTATATTTAAATCCTTTTTGATCTTCTCGATCAGAACCAATTTTGCTCGTCAGTAAAGTCCTTTTTTGTTATCTTATGGATCAAATTTCAAGTTTGCTCGTCAGTAGAGTCCCTTTTTTGTAATCTTTTGAATCAAATTAAAGTTTGCTCGTCAGTAGAGTCCTTTTTTGTTATCTTTTAGATCGAAATTGAAGTTTGCTCGTCAGTAGAGTCCCTTTTTTGTAATCTTTTGAATCAAATTAAAGTTTGCTCGTCAGTAGAGTCCTTTTTTGTTATCTTATGGATCAAATTTCAAGTTTGCTCGTCAGTAGAGTCCCTTTTTTGTAATCTTTTGAATCAAATTAAAGTTTGCTCATCAGTAGAGTCCCTTTTTGTTATCTTTTAGATCGAAATTAAAGTTTGCTCGTCAGTAGAGTCACTTTTTGTAATCTTTTAGATCGAAATTTTAAGTTTGCTCGTTAGTAGAATCCCTTTTCTAATTTTCTCAATTAAAATTAAAGTTTGCTCGTCAGTAGAGTCCCTTTTTGATAAAATATTTTTGTCATTTTGGATTAAAAATTCTAAAAAGCACCCAGGCTAAGCACAGTCTAAGCGCCGCTCTGGTACAAATGTTGTACCCAAGTGCGTTTAGACTGTTTATATATGGAGTACTTTTCCAATTTTATGATAACTATTGAATAAAAATGTGAAAATGCCGCCAAGCTAAGCACAGTATAAGTGAAAATGTCGCACAGAATTATTTGCAAATGCGTTTAGACTATGACTATACCGGAGCACTTTTTCAATTTTGTGCAAATTAAGCAAGTATTTTTTTAATTTTAACTGAGAAAATTAGAAAAGGGACTCTACTGACGAGTAAATTTTAATTTCTATCTAAAAGATTACAAAAAAGGACTCTACTGACAAGCAAACTTGAGATGTGATCTAGAATTTAAAATAAGGACCTACTGACGAGCAATCTTAAAATTTGATGTAGAATCTTAAAAAAGGACTCTACTGACGAGCAGACCTTAAAATTTGATCTAGATTACAAAAAGGGACTCGACTGACGAGCAAACTTAAAATTTAATCTGAAATTTCAAAAAGGGACTCTACTGACAAGCAAACTTAGAATTTGATCTAGAATCTAAAAAAGGACCCTACTGACGAGCAAACTTTAATTTGCATCTAAAAGTTACAAAAAGGGACTCTACTGACGAGCAAACTTAAAATTTAAGCTATAATTTAAAAAAGAGACTCTACTGACGAACAAACTTTTACAAAAAACGACTCATCTGACGAGCAAACTTTAATTTTAATTGAGAAAATTAGAAAAGGGACTCTACTGATGAGCTAACTTAGAATTTAATCTAGAAGATTAAATAGGGACGCTACTGACGAGTAAACTTAGAATCTAAAAAAGAGACTCTACTGAACAGCAAACTTAAA